ATGGTGTTCGCTCAGCTTCTTGAATATATATTCTCTCATTCTTCATTATGCCTGGGAAGTTTTCCTCTAGTAATTCTTCCGCAAGTTTTTCAGTGTCTTTACTTCCTTCTGCCTGTTCTGGGATTCCAATGATGCGCATGTTATTTCTCTTGATGGTGTCCCACATTATTAGATTTTCTTCTTTTTCCTTCCTTTTTGATTCTGCTTTTTGCTCTAGCAGATCAGTGGTGACATTTCTATCTTCTATTTCACTGGTTCTGTGTTCTATCGCTTCAATTCTATTTATGTGTCCCTCCATCATGTTGACAGCATCTGAAACATTGGACCTCCTATTTTGGATTGTGGTTTCTTGTTTTCCCAGTGCCTCTAGCGCTTCGTTTGTTTTATCTGCATTGTTGTGGTTTGGGTTTTTTTTAGCTCCTCCTGGTTTTTGCTTGTGGCATCCTGTAGTTCTTCGAGTTTTTCTTTTATCCATTGGAAAATATTGAATCATTGTTCTTCTAAATTCTGTGTCACAAAGTTCCATCAGACTTTCTGTTTTTAGGAAATCCATTGCTACTGTGTCACCCTTTGGTGGCAACATCTTGTTTTGCATTTGTGTAGTGTGTACAGTAGCTTGTTTTCTTTGAGACATTGATTTAAACTTGATCTGAAGACAATTTCTCTGAATTTCTAACTCAAGGAAAAGGTCAGTTCAGAGCCTGTGAGAGCAGTTTTTTGTAGGTAAGTCAGATCCAGATGCTCTGGATTAAAGGCAGGTTGATTGACTGACTGGTCGTGTAGTCACAGGAATGGAGCCAAATGGGATGGGGCAGGCAGGGAGGTGAAATAGTCACCAGGGTGGGTCAACCAGTTGAGGGACCTCACTCAGACCTTAGCTGCCCAGGTGTGCTCACAATTGAGGACCCTGATCGAGTTCCCGCTGTCTGTCTCCCAGTCAGCAGTTCTCACTCAGTGGCTCTTACCCAGTGGCACTACCCAGTGCCCTGGTCCAGTGGCCCCTGCCTAGGAGGACCAGTCAAATTTCCGTAAAGCAGTACAGGTTTAAGATCCTGTGGTTCCTAAAACTATTTGTATCAATAAAAGTTCTTTTTAGAATTCCTATTGTCCACGTCAAACAACAGACCCACTGGGTCTTAGTGGGACTTAAGAGGATTCAGCCAATTTTCCCACTAAGCTTTCCCCTTCCAAATGGGTCCAGCAGCTTCTGGCTTTTGCTGATCTGGAGTATGCACTGAAATGTGGACTGGAATGCAACCCAGGCTGATTGCGTACAATTCTGACTAATCTATCAAAAGTTCTTATTTAAATTCCTACTGTCTCCATCATGCAACAAACCCACTGGGCCTTAGTGGAGCTTTAGAAAATTCAGCCACTTTCCCCATAAAGGTTATCCCTTTCAGATGGGTCCCTCAGAAGCTCGGCTTGCAGATTCCGGCATTTGCCGATCTGCAGTGAGACCGAAAAGTGGTCCGGATTGTAACTGAGGCTATTAGCTCATTCTGAGTCCACTCCAGCAGATGTTCTGATTCAGATTTCTACTGTCCACGTCACGCAACAGACCCACTGGGTCTTAGTGGAGCTTAAGCGAAATAAGCCAATTTCCCCACTAAGTTTTCTCCTTCCAAATGGTTCTCTTAGAAGCTCATCTAGTGGCTTCCGGTTTTTGCTGAGTCCGCACGGCTTTGTTCCCACAGTTCCAATCCTAAAAGTTTCGACAAAAGTTATGATTCAATTCGTATTGTCCACGCTGCACCTCAGACCCTCCAGGTTTTAGTGGGCTTAAGAGAATTCAGCCGATTTCCCCACTAACCTTTTTCCTTTCAGGTGAGTCTCAATGCAGCTCAGCTCAGCTAGTGGATTCCAGCTTTTGCTGGGTCCGCGATGACCACTGCAGGGCAGGCAGGCAGGGCTCCGGTTTTTAAAGCTTCTAAAATAATGTATTAGCAAAAGTTTTGATTCAGAATCCTACTGTTCGCATCACACTGTGATGGTCAGTCTCTGGAGCGTAAAGTACTCTCTGGTGTCCTCTCTAAGCAGGCTGCTATCCCTCTGGCTCTTCACACTGTGCTCTCCACCTCCGCCATCTTCCCGTCTCCCATAAAGTGATTTTTTTTTAAAGAAGGGCTCATTTGATGAAAATGTTAAAGAATAATTAAACAAAAAGATGAAAACCAGTCTCACATTTTAGATAGTTAGCATTGTTAATTTATTTTATACTGTTTTACTTACAAAGTTCATGTGCCTGTTGTTTCCCACCAGATCTTTCCAGTTTCCTTTACCCACCCCTCCCTCCACCCATCAAATTGTGTGACCCTAAAAATTGACCACCACCACCCACCCATCCTCACCCCTCTACTCCCACTCCCCCCACTTGGATCCTCATACATGTTCTACAATAATGGTCTTACTCAGTATTTGTCTTTATGAGACTGAGTTAGTTCACTTAACATAGAGCTAGCTGTCCAGTCCCTCCCAAGTTATGTAGTGATTTACAAAATCATTGCTCCATTGTTAATATTTTTAATGTATTCTTCTGTCTTTTGCTGTCCGTATTTAAAAAAACAATGCTATCTCATAACTTTATCTTAATATATCATAATTTTTTCCATCATTCATTTTCTGCACAATTGAAATAGGTCATGATATTCCAAGGTATGGAGATAGCAGTTTTAGTAATCCCTAGGTGTTTTTGACAATCCCAGCATAGGAGCTTTCCCCATGTGTTCTGTGTGTGTCTCTATATCATTCAAAAGTAACTATGTTTAGGGTCCACCTTACTGGTGTGACCTCAGCTGATTGACTTCATTACTTTAAAATGTATTTGGGGAAGTGAACACATTCCATTAGTTAGATATCACCCTAGGCACAGGCATTCCTGGATAAAGAATGTCCAACCAAACTAAGCCCTCTTTGGTTAAGTGGACAAGCCCTATTTGTCCTTTAACATTATTCATTTGCCCTCAATTTGAAATGACAGAATCAACACCTGCTTGGAACAGATTGTTAATCTGTTCACCTGCACTTACTACACTATAACTTACATCATTGAGGAGGAGGCTTGGACCTTCTACTAAACCAAAACCAAGCCCACAGCCACTGAACTGATTGCCGCTTACCCTGACCCTCTGTTGGGTCTTGAAGGCTGTGGTCAGTATGGAAGGAGACTGCCCATCTCCTCCCCAAGAAGTGGCTGGTGAGTTTGAATGCCAACCTCTGGTTAGAAACCTGGCTTGAGTAAAAGTTTACAAAACAAACTGATTTTTGTATTCAGTCATTCATACACATTTTGCTTAACATTAATTCTAGTACCCCCTATATAACTGTGTTCCGCTTCTTCCTTGTGATGCTTTTTCCAAAAATCCTCCTTCCCTACTTCCTGCCTTGTAGGGTTTTATCCTTGGACAAATGCTGCCCTTTTTGATCTTACGTGGTTGACTGTTCTAAGGAGTGAGTGCCTGTTTTTGTTCACCTTATTCACCTGATTGTTGTTTACCTTTGGACATGAATGTTGTGGTTTGAAGAGCCATAGTTTTGGGGATTCCATGGGTCTTATGTCAGATCAGTAAGCTTGGCTATATTTATGGTTTTGAGTTTGTTCCACATTTCCCCACCCCCACCCTCACCCCCAGTACTTTGTACTGTGATCCTTTTACAGCCATCAGCAGAGGTATCCAGGTACTGTTTAGTTCCTGGGACCATTTGAGTTTCCTTTTAAAATTACCTCTTAATGCTCTTGCCTTATTTCTTTATTAACCTTCTGTTTGTTTTTAAAAATTAGTACAAATGGAGGATAGTGCTTTAACTCTTTCTTCAATGAGCTCCTGAAAGACCATGTAGTATTTTAAGTCCTTTGACTATCAGTGCTATCTGTCTGGTATACCTTGTTAGTATTTTTTCAATTAAGTTATTGGTTATGGGAAGCCATTCATAATACATTTAGTGAATGAAAATGGGGTATAACATATATATATATGATGTTTTGCTTAGACATTTCCTGTTTTGTCTACCATTAAGATGCATTGTTTTTGTAGTAAAAATTAGTGAAAGACAAAATGATGCAAATGTAGTTACCTTTAAAATCTGACAGCTGTCTAATTGACAAGTAGACGGAATATTTGACTGCTGGTGGATACGGTGCTATCTGAACTAACCTTGCAAAATTGGGAGATGACTGCATCTAAATTTTATCTCTTGCCCATCTTTCAGGAAGGCTATTTTTGATACACCAGATGAAGATCCCAATTACAATCCCCTGCCTGAAGATCGGCCTGGAGGCTTCGCCTGGGGGGAGGGCCAGCGCCTTGGAGGTTAAAGCAGCAGTGCCAACAATGGGACCCCGCTGGGAAAGACTTGAGTGGAATACTCACCGGAATTCTTTTACCCTTTGTGTTGCAAAAGTGTGGACACTTTTGACAGCTTTACAGATTTTAATTCCAGAAGCACTTTATGAAATGGTACACTGATTAAGCCAGAAGACATTTCTTGCAGTTTACCAGTGGTTCCTCACTACACTGGTAATGAAAATGTAATCACTCGGAGCCAAAAACTGGAGAAAGCAATATTCCTGCCATCTCTAACTAACAAGTACATGAATACTTGAGTTCTGTGGCATAAAGCAGGCCTTTTTCTTCCTCTTCCTTGATAGATGAGGCCATGGTATAAATGGAAGTTTCAGAGAGGACAAAATAAAACAGAATTCCATCAGTCTCTCACTGTACTAAAGCTTTTGTGTGTGATCTTTTAAATTCCGACAGTGCATTCTAGCTGGGCTCAGACCAGTTCACCTGCCTGTTCTTTCTGTATATTCACAGCTTCCGACTGGATTTCATTTCATGAAGACTGGAAATATGTGACTTGCTGCCTGTTCACAAATTGGGACTGTTATTACCGTGGTTATATACACATTGATGTAGAATGCTCATTTCAGTAGGAAGAAGATATAGTTCTGTTGTCCACAAAGTTCTTAGGCTGAGTTTTCCAAAACTTCAAATGGCAGCATGGAAAGAAGTGGTGAGGTTACAGCAGAAATTCAGCCTTAGGCAAAAAGCTTAATATGGAGCCCAAGTTACTTTGCTTACATTTCTTTATTAAGAACTATCCAAGGAAAGCTTGGCTGTATGTTTGAAAACTACAGAAAGATCTTCCAACCTGGAAAACCAGTTAGAATGTTGACTTAGAAGGCAAGTGGCAGACAGTTAGGGAGGCCTTTGGCTGTTCAACACTGATCATTGCTTCTTGCAAGGCTGAGCAGCTTTGTAGAGCTAAACACCTGCTTATCTTTCCATTCAGGTAGAAATAACCAAGGTTCACAGAAGTAGTCAGCCACCAGCTTGTGGTTTAATAAACATTTGTCACAAATGTGATTTCTTCTCTGGGTCTCAGCCAGACTGTATTCACACGGCTTCAATAATTCAGAGAACCCAGGAAAATAAGATGGATGAAAAGATGATTTCAGTTGTTTTTATAAGCACCATGTGGGCCCAGGGCCATCTCTCCAAACTTGATTTTTGAGTAGTTCCAACTTGGCTTGTGTGGAAACTTTCCTTAGTGTGAGATTGTTTTTCCCTCCTCTGACAGACTTGCAGCTTGAATATCAAACTTGCCAATTGATAGTTCTTATTTTGAAAAATATTTTTATGTCTAAAAATATAAGTAATGAATTTAACATGGGTATTTTAAATGCTGCTAGTACATAATGGAGATGATCGCTATATTTTGTGGAACTTTGGTTCATGGATGTGTTGTCTACCTGAATGGTTCAAAAGTTTTAGCAGGTTAATTGCCAACCTTAGATGCATACTCTTTATGAGAGTATAAGGTTTTTGTCATGTCTTTGTTGAAGAAGGCTTTATCAATGACTTATCAGAAGTTTTAAAAATTGTTTTAGTGCTATAAATTACTTTGATTTTATTTGTATTCCTAGAGTTAACTTTGGGTTTTCCAGTTCATGGATTTTTTGGTAGTAATTAATTCTTCCTCAGTGACCACTTAGTTAAAACCAAAAATACTGAAAACAAAATTTGGACTTATAACCATATAGTCAGGTACAGGATCTTGATTTGTGTGATTTGATATGATAAAAATTCTAATGTCAGCCACTCGTGTTGGGCTACTCCAGCACCTCATCCTAGGCAGTGCTAATTTGCACTGCTAATTCATTTCTGACTCCATGCTCAGCTCTGAGAGAGAAAGAGGGACAATCTCCTCTGATTTACAGCCTCTGCAAAGCTGCTGGAGGTTCCGCTAAGAGCCAGTTCAATGTTTGACCAGTCCTGCGATCCGTAGATCTCTGTCGTTTGACAGGACATAGACTACCTGAAGATAAGGGGAAAGTCTTCACTTAATCCTAACATATCTCTCAGTCTTGTCCTTTCCAAAGCACACGCTTCCCTTTTGTAATGCAAGATAACTGCAGAGGATCTGATATGTATAATTCTATTTTGTGATCTACTTAAACTGATGTACATGCAATCTGAAGGACTTGAGCTTTTCTAGTAATACTGAAAAGAACACGTGATTAAGGCCTAATTTTGTTTGCTCTAGAATTAGAATTTTAAAGTGAACAGGGGACATGCGAACTGCATCTCCCTAGGAAGTACATTTTATATACGTTTTGTTGTGGTGCTGGTGTGTGTTGGGTTTTCCTTTTACTATAGATCCTTGTTCCTCTTTTCCATTTCTTCTTGTCCTGTGTCCCCATAACTCTTGTGTAGTCTCTCTGAGTAGAGAGCACCCACCAGTTGGAGATCTTGGTATTGAAATCCTCATTTTGACACCTGTACTGACCTCTGAAGGGGCTTCTGAGAGTTAGGAAATAATGAAGCTACTGCTGTGTTGGCCGAGGGACTTTCTAGAACTTTCATCTACATGGGCAGCATTTTATGTTGTGACTATTTTCCTTTGATGGCAAATGCCATCTGTAATGTTAGCCGTTATGTCTAGTGTTCTGCAGGATGTCCCCTAAACTACTTGCATATTTTGTAAGTTTGCATTACAGTTGTTGAACCTCATCTAATCAACCCACTTAATCCACAGTGACTTGGTTCACAAACCAAATGCAAGTATTTTTTGTCTTCCTTGAACCTTGTTCCCACTAGTACCTAACAGGGACCCTTATTTATATTCTTTAGTCCTTCAACACCTGGTCCAGTTCCCTGGCTTCTCAAAAAATCTTGACTTTCAATGGACCCATTTCATTGTTTTTGGCTCCATAAAAAGCTTCAAGTCTGTACAACATACACCAAATGACGTACTGTCTTGTACTGTTCCTAGCTGGTACTTGTACATGTGTCTCCCTTGTGAGATTGTAAGCTCCTTAAGGGCAAGGACCATGTCTTAAATTTTTGTATTCACCACAGTGCCTAGCTCAGTGCTTGGCACATAGGTGCTGAATAAATAGTTTGTTTATGGATCAGCAAACTACTACCTTGTATTTTTAATTACAGAGTATTTATGCATGCAAGCTTATGCCCCATTGCTGAAGCTTGTGATTGGTCTCTGGAAGTAGAATGGAGCAAAATATCTTTAAGGACAGTGGTTTGATAGCCACTCAGCAATGGACTGAGGAAGACATGGGTAACCATACTTGATGCCTATGTTGGGTTTTATTTGTCAGCTCTGAACCATTTAGGTTTAAGGTTGCAAAATAACTCAGACATTGGGCCTGAACTTACAGATTAGTTCCCTATAGATATGCTTTGGTTTGCCTTCCCTATAGATATGCTTTGGTTTGCCTGAGTGCTGAGCCAACTTTTGAAAATTAACAAATTTTACATTTAAGAAAAACCCAAAATGAAACCTTCCATTTTAGTTTTTCTTACAAGGGGTTGGAATTAAGGTCTAGCAATCGGGCCTGCATTCCTTTATGACAGTTATATCCTAAAGTTGATAAGAGGCTTCTAGAGACAGAGTTTATGCTCTCAATAGAATACTTGACCATGTTGTTAGGTGCTGTCGAGTCAAGTATGATTCATAGTGACCCTGTGAACAACCAATCTGAACTGTCCCATCCCATGCCATCTTCAGAACCTCTGACACACTCGAGCCCAAATGCCAAAGTCACTGGTGTGAACCCACCTGGTTCAGGGAGGTTATAGTATCTCTTAATTATTTGGAACAGGTGGCTTCTGTGCTAGCTGGAACACTGTGATAAAGAATTGAGGTCTATTAATATCTTACTCAAAGTCCATCATTTGAAACTTAGTTTTCCTTTTAGCTACCTCATTAACATTTGGGGAGGGAAGCAAAATTTTGTCTTTATTTTTCTTGAACACTTGTAGTTCAACATGCACATTTTCAGTAACCCCATAGTTAGTACACTATCAGGAATGAGCCGGTTACCTTGTGATCTGGGAAGAAGTGGACAAGGATTTTTTTAATTATTATTTCTATTTTATATGGGTTTGCTTACAAAGTTCATATACATTGTGTTTTATACAATCATTCCCATTATGTTTAATAAAATAAATCACTGAACTATGCCCATCATTATCCTATCTTTCCAAAGCCCAGCTGAATCTTGCCCATTTCCTTTACCCACCCCTCCCTCCACCCACCAAATTGTAAGACCCTATGATTTTTCCCTTGGTGACTCTCATCCCTTTGCTCTCACCCACTTTGCCTTGGATCCTCGTACAAGTTTTACTAGTTCCTGTTTCTACAATAATGGTCTTACACAGTATTTGTCCTCATGAGAATGAGTTAGCTCCCATAGCATACTGCTCTCCAGTCCCTCCCAAGTTATGTAGCAATTTTTTAAAATTTTTTTTAATTATTTTTGTGTGTGTGTCCCATCAAATCAGATCTGACTGGTACAGGAGGAGATTGCCCCTCCTTTCCCGGCAGAGCATCTGGTGGATTCAAACCGTGCGCCTCTGGGATTGTGCAGCAATTTTTAAAATAATTGTTCCTGAGTGCTATGTAGTATTCCATCTTGTGAATGTACTACAATTTCTCAAGCCATTTGATTGTGGTTGGCCATTGTAAGACTAATAATCCAGAGTGAGTTTCATGGAAGTGAAATTCACAAGATGCCTATTGTCCTTCAAGTTTATAGTGAATTTATGAGAAATCACATTTCTTGTATCCAGAGAAAACAGTCTTTGTGTCAACTGGCAAATCATCTAAGAGATTTGGCTATAGGAAGAGTCAAGAAACTATAGTGTTGTGCCACAATCGTGAGTCCCCCAAAGGCTGCCAGGGAGCCGAAATCGAAGCAAGAACATGAGGGATTTTATTACAAGCTCTCGAGCAGGGACTCGACACACACACTGACCCAGGGGCCGCGTGGCAGAGCTCCCAGCACTTCGAGACAAGGGTTTTTATTGGTGCTGGGAGTGGCAAAGACTGAGTGAGGGGTGGGGAAATACAAGGGGATTGGGGGCCTTGTGAGGTAAGATGGAGGCTGCACATGGTGATTGGCTAATTTGTAAATAAGCGGGCTCATTAGCAAGGGCCCTGAACACTTGGCATATTCTGATTGGAGTAAGGTTCATACAGGAGGAGTTAAAGTCACTTCTTTGTTCCTGAGGTCCTTTCAGGAAGTGAACTCGAGAAAAACAAGGACAAAGGACTTAAGATGGCGGCCTGACCAGAGATATATATAACACAAATCTTGACTCTCACATTCCCCCTTTTCTCTTGGTAATTGGAGGAACTAATCATAGGTCCTCAGTGAGACACACGTCTGGGTTGATCCTTGAGGGAGTATTTTCAACA